TTTCTCCCCAATTGTAGTCGTCTCCAATTTCACCCACTAGTTAGGACTCCCCCATTGCACTATACTACCAACGCTAGGAGGGTGAAGGCTAGCACAGGCTTCCTCCGAGACCTGTTAAGTGACACTGCATCTTTTTTGGAACTGCCACTCACGCAACGTCACTGGACAGTCGAACGCGATCGGAGGAAAGCACCAACCACCAGATCTGTTATGTCAGCTAACAGACGCCTGCACTGACTAGCATCGCATTGGGTGATGGGTGGAGAAGGGGGGCCATCCTACCCACCCAGAGAGAGCAAGGCCAATTGTGCTCTCTTGGACTCACGGCCATGGATGGCTGTAGCAACACCAGGGATCAAACTCGCGATCTCCTGATGATAGGGTCAGCGCTTAGACGTTTGCACGGTTGCTTGGGGGAGCCCCCCAAGATTCTTAATTGTTGGCCTGATTGTGGAAAGGGGCATTTTCAACTGTTTTCAACTATTTTCTTGTAGCCATTTTCTGATTTGTGCAGCTCAACAACCTTTTATCATACATCATTGTTGTTTTCTCTGGTCTTTCTCATAGAGAAGAATGACTGAGGGAATTTGGTCTGCATATCACTTCATACATAATCCCCAGTGAAACAGGACGTCATGGCTGACCATTTAAGTGTTCCTCAGGTGAACTTTAAAACACAAAATAATGAATGAGAATATACTTCAGTTACATTTCTCTGATGATTGTGACACTCAAATATTCATGGACATTAACGCTGTTTTGTTAAAATCCAGGCGCTTAACAAGCCAATCTGGTATTTCAATGAAATAATGACTCAAGTAGAAGCAGCTACCAAACACCAATTTATTTTAAGCCATTACAGCAACAATGGATTTCTTTTCATTTTGTGCCTGACTACAATACAAAAGTGTTTTTTCATCATTGCATATCTTTTATGTGCTGTCTGTAATTGTAGAACTACAAAGTGTACCTTTGTGGTAAGTGGAGCTGATAAAATGGACAATGACGGGAGAAACAAGAAGGTGTTATTAATGAAGTGGCTGGTCTATATTTAAAAAAATGTTCAAAACAAAAACACTCACCAGGAATTAAGCGGTTGAGGCAGAGATGGATTGACTCCAGGGAGGTGGAGCCCTGTGCACAGCTATAGACAAAAAGGACAACTCCTGCCTTGGTCAGCTGCCCCATCTTAGTGTAGAGCTTGGGTCCTGGAGGACCCTAGATACAACGAAGATGCTTCCACTCTGTGTGTCCCAAATGCCATTCATCTGTTCGTTGTCCAGCAGTGGGGATGCCCATCGTTTCTTTCACATTGCATAAAGGCACCAGCAGCTGGCCGAAGAGCTCCTCAGTCTTCTGTGGATAACAGTGCCGAGCAAGCAGGTTTGCAGTCAGCTATCAGGCGAGCTGGTCTTCAGCCGCTCCTCACCATGAAGAGGCCATAGAGCTGGCAGCTGTCTGTGGTGTCCACTGCTAATGTTCACCTCAGGTGCCACACATCCAGCCTGACCATTCATTCATGGAACACTGCCACTGCTCTGGGCTTCCCTGCTTCTGAAAAGTAGTGGGCATGGATGGAAGGACTCCAGCTCCCATCAGCTTATGGCTCCCAGTCATGGATGGCTGTGATTCAAACTCACAACCTCCTGGCACTTAGCCTGTTGTACCACTCACAAACTCTGGAAATTGCTCAGATTTCTGTGTCCTTAAATGTTTAATACACTGTGAGAAAATGTGTCATTTTAACTTTGAAAAATGACGCAATGGTCTAAGACTTCGCCCCAACATCAGGAGGTTATGAGTTTGAACCCCACTGTCCATATCTGGAAAGCCAGGAGAAGGAAATGCCTTATATAGTGCCTTTCTCAAACCCAATTTTGCTTTACAGATACGGGACAAAAAACAAACAAACAAAAATCAGTGAGGAGAAGAGTGGAATTGCTAAGAAAAGAGATCATTTTAAGCTGAGCTTTAAAAGAGGAAACTGAGGGACAGTCACAGAGAGATTGGGATAATGTGTTCCATAGTTTGGGGGCCATGACGCTGAAAGATCTGCCCCCAACAGTGACAAGTCTAAATTTTGGGACAACTAGACGACCTAAGTGTACAGGCAGGGCAGTACGGGTGCAGGAGATCGGCTAAATAGGCTGGTGCTAAAGCATGTTGAGATTTGTAAGTTAGCAGGAGGACTTTAAACTGGTAAAGATAAACTGGGACAGGTAACCAGTGTAACTGACTTAGAATTGGAGTGATATGACCTGATTTTTTTTGAGTGAGAGAGAATTCTAGCAGCTTAGTTTTGTAAATACTGAAGAGGCCGGATAGTTTTGTAAGGAACACCAATAAGAGGGGAGTTGCAGTAGTCTAAGCAGGATGGTACAAAAGCATGGACCAGAGTTTGTGTCTTTCATGGAGAACAGGGGACGAAGATTAACAATATTGCGGAGATGGAAAAAAGCTGTTTTGACCAGAGCCCTAATATAAGGTTCAAATGAAAGGACAGGACAGTCACACTGTCCAAATTAAATGTGAAGTTTGTGGAATTTACAGTAACAAACTTAGGGCCAATGAGTAGATTTTCAGTTTTATCAGTGTTTAGTTTTAGAAAGTTACTTTGCATCTATTGTCTGAGGTCTTGAATACAAGATATTAGGGCAGGGGGTGGCAGGTTAATAGTGGAGTTGGTGTGGACATAAATCTGTATATCATCGACATAACAATGAAAATGAAGACCATGATGGCGGATGATCTGACCGAGGAGTCAAATATAGATGATGAAGAGTAGAGGGCCAAGGACTGATCCCTGGGGGACACCTTGTATAACAGCACTGATAGCAGAGTTATGCTTACTATGGGCAGCACAGTGAAGTCTATTAGTGATATAGGATCTAAACCAGGCGAGGGCAGTGTCAGAGGGGTCTTACTGTAGACGGATGTTGAGGAAGTTGAGTGGAACTGTTGGTAGGTTTTACTAATTTTGTCTATGAAAAATCTATGAAAGGCTTCACATTGGTCAACAGTGCAGGGAGGGTAAGGAGAAGGAGGCTGAATAAGTTTATTGAAGTTACCTGACTTCGACCTGACTTGACAAGTAAGCCATGGCGCCAAGAGGTTGTACAAACCCAGCCTACTCTAAGTGAAAACTAAACTACTTCTTTCATTTAAAATATTGGATTTGTGGCCTTTTATTTGGCCAATTTCAAGTGATATCGACCTTTGTAGTCTTGTTTTGGTTTTAATTTAATGTAGTAATAGTAAAATGCTGGCAAACTACGGAGAAAATGAGCAATGTTTCAAGTCGCCAAGTGTGTCTACCTTCATTAAAAACTATGGTTGTGAATTTTCGGATGCAGCATGTCCAGTGTGCAGTGACCTTAAGTATATTTGGCTACACTGGTGTCAAAAATGAGATGATGACGCCACAATATAAAGATGTACCGTAACAGTGGTATTTTTGTGTAAATTTGATCTCACGTTTCTATTAACAGCTTATGACATCAATACACTTAAAATGTCTTTTTTGTCCTTTGTTTTACATTTTACATTAAAGCAGCACAAACGACTGCACAAAGTGCTAGGGTACTTTACAAAAAGTTTATTTTACGTCATAAAAAAAAATCTCAGCGAGCATTTTCAATAAAAAAGAAAGAGAAACCCCTTCTGAAATGTCATAGCAACTTTATCAAAGTACCATACAGTCTGCTGTACAAGATATAACACCACAAGGGGAAAAGGGTCATACATCAAAAATCCAGTTCTACCAGAGAGTGGCAGCTGAAATTCTGGCCTCTATCTCATTTTAAATCAAACGATCAGTGCTTGCTTCAAGTAAAATATGAACAAAAATAATTACAAAAGAAACGTCTCTTCACATACAGCTAAAGAAAGTAAAACATCAACAAACTGAACAAGACTGAAAAACTGACCATACAGAAAAGGTGAACTGCTGAGATAATAAACATCAAATAGAAATAATGAGTCACTATATCTTCCCGGCAGACAGAATTGATTCCAATGTTTTATCAACCATGTATTAAAAATTCATGAGGTTTCATTGTTTTTTTCTGACCATTTCATCATTTTTAGATCACACTTTCAAAAATATGCTTCGGTTCTGAGTTTTTCCATTGGAGATCCTGAAGCTTTGGTTAGTTTAAAAAAGGAGTGGAACAGTAATGATGAACCTGTAAAGCTTAGACAAATTGAAGCTGCCAAATTTCTTAAGTTCCTACCCACCATAGAAAGATACGCAACTTGATAGACTGAATATCACAACACATCTTTAATAATCCATGCCATGTTTTCACACAAGCAAGCTCTACTGAAAAGATAGAGCACCAGCAAAAAAATGAAATAAAAACCAAACAAACAAACAAAAAGAACAGTCAAGATTATCTATCTGTACAAGAGGACTACTTTTTCAGACAGGCTGCAGACTTGCTGGTTTCTGATAGATAAACTTAAGTAAACTTAAACTTAACTCTTAAAATAAGATGGTTCTTGGAGGGTTCTTCAGAAAAGACATCAGTTTTATATAGAACCATGAACCCTCAAAGAATCGTCTGCATGCTTAAAAGGTTCTTTGCATCGTTGCTGTATATGGTTCTATACAGAACTTTTTGGAAAACTGTTCTAGCACCAAAAAGGGTTCTGCTATTTTCACAATGTTAAGCCTGTAACAATAGAAGAACCATTTTTGGTGCTACATAGAACATTTTTCAAATGGTCCTATGCAGAACATATATATACAACACATTCTCCATCCATCTAAAGAACCAATTCACCATGGAAAGAACAATTTAGGCATGCACAGTGGTATTCATGGTTCTATGTAGAACTTCTGTCTTTACTAAAGAACCCTTGAAGAACCATCTTTTTTAAGAGTGTAGGGAGCAAATGACCATGTTATCAGGCTTTACATTTTTATTATGACTACCAGTCTAGTAACAATAATGATTACAATAATGATAATAATAATAACAATGATAAACAACAGTGCCTTGGTTTCTTCAAATGAAGGTTTAATATATACAAACGACTTCAAAACGACTTACTTTCAACAGTTTTCTAAAAACCTTGCTACATACGTTTTGCAAACCATACCAGTAGTGGCATTTTTTAAACTTTTTAATGTGTTCTTCGAGTAAAGGTTCCAGTGCTACAGGACAGGTTGCTCATGGTTATAAATTACACTTGACTGTCCACTAAAAAACCCTCCCCCGAGAAAAAAAGAGAATGCTTGTTTCAAAGTGTCATTTCAATGCCTCTTTTTTTAAATGTAGAATTACGCTGCAAAAAGGGTTTACTTTTTTTAAAAAATCACAAATTCCACAGCTTGTCTTTGGTATCGAGGTACAGTAAGGCTAAAACGGATTGTAAAGACGTCGGCCACAAATCAGACATAGTGTTTTAGTGCTGTGACTGTGTTTAAATCATCAGGCACAAGAAAAATTAGCAACGGGTTACCAGTAAATTACTCATACTGCGCAATCTTGCTTATAAAAAAAGTCTAATCAGATTCAAAAAGAGATTTACTGTTTTCCAGATTCGAAAGCTTTCAGCTTAAATGATGGCATAGTGGTACTGGCTCCATATTCAAAAACACCTTTCATATATAACAGTGCAGAGTACCTGAATGGGGAAAGAAATATATTAAAAAAGCTCAACAGTCATATAAATTTTGCTTTAACAAAGTTTAAAAACCCTCCTTGCATTTGGTACAAAGGCATAAGTTATGTGGAATCAAACCACTAACATCCTCTATTTCCAAGATGATAACTGCATTTATACAAAATAATTACAAACAGCATCAGCAAAAAAGCTGAAAAGCATCAGATGGTATATGGTTACTTAAACATGCAAGCTTTAAGCATCAACTTACAAAAAACTGCAGCCACTGAATTGAAAAAAAGTGGCAGATCAGCTATCTCATGAGCTTATAAATGCATAGATACAAACAATTTAAAGACTTTAAAAGACTAAGTGGATCCTGAATATAATCAAATGACACCGTTTTTCTCTCTTTTTCAGAGATCCACTTTGGCGTTTGCTTTTCTAAGGGGGATAGTCAAGGTGCTCTGTACTTTGTCAGTTTAACGTTGCCAAACCCAACACATTAAAGCCTCAATTAGAATCACTATACCTGACTGCAAGACAAAGGTTTTTGAATAATCACAATGCATATTCGGAAAACCATATTCTGTCACCCTGAAACAAAATAACAAAAAACAACAGTGCACTGAATTTACATTCAAATGTGTACATTATTTGTACATGAATGAAACATAATACCTCAACATCATTGTGTTATTAAGTGTACTGTCTTTTGGCACAAACTGTGTTCATGTAATATTTTATTTTTGTACACATTCGAGTAAAAAAAAATCCTTTTTTTGTCAGTGTAGTATAATCACTAAACCTGGGGCAACTGTGGTGCCATTGCAGCAGTTCTTGGTTGGGGCTTTAAACAGGAATTCCATCATTTTTTCAAAATCTGCTTTAACTGAGTCTGAATTGTTCACAGCGGTGGTGATTGAAATGAATAGGTTAAAATTATGCTTCTGATGCCATTAGTTTTCAGGTGAGGTCTCCCAAAACATATTTTGTAAAAATCCATTCACTTTACATGGAAGGCATTGTAAGTCAAATTAGTCCCCAAAGAAAACTGATTTTTTTTTGGTTTTACTACAATTTTACCATCATCAACATTCGATATAAAAACTGTAGGTGTAGGTTCACTGGTCACTTTCAATAACTAATAAATGGCTATATTTCCTATGTATATATATCACCACCATTGTAAATAAATCTGACTCATTAAGCTTCTCTTAAGTATACCATTGCACAACCAAACACTGAATTACTGTATTTACATTTCACCAGTTGAATTGAAATTTTTGAGAAATCAGCAGAATTCTCCTTTATACCACGCCTTTCTTGTTTGCATAATGTCTTAAACAGTGATGTCCTTTGTGTCTTCATAAACAAGACAGCCTGGATCACCTAAAAGAGTTTCCAATATACAAGTTTTCAATATATAAAATGTGCCAGGTAGTGCAAATATTAGATCATTTTGATGATTGTATTAAAAATTATTTCACAGAGCATTCATTTAATTCAATGCCTCAAATCTAGAGCATGGGGAACCCTGAGATGCAACTTAGGGAGGTTTAATGCCACACAAAACTCTAGTGAACAAAAGTCCTAATCACTTTAAGTTAATGCATATTAATTTCTATAAACAACAATTAGTTTACAATGAGGAGCAAGCCAAATTTTAGATTACGAACAATTCAGTGTGAATCAGATCTCAGTTTTAACAGCTGCAGTACCAGTTGCCATAATTTTGAATTCATATGAATGCCATGAAATTGACATACTGGAAAACTTGTGACAGGAGACATTATATTTCCTTATGTTATATATCCTGTGACTACAGTCTAGACAACAAAGTTTCCAAAAAACTACTAATCATTCATGTTGTATTTCTCTGCACCTGGAAGCACCTATTTAAAATCTGGTCGAAAGGGCGACTAAATGAAGCAAGAGTACCTCTCAACTAGTCCCAAAACAAGCTTGTTTACAAAAGAAGCAGGATTTAGAAATTAATTTAAATTCCCAAATTTCTCAAACAGTTTAACAGCATCCCTTTGCCTACAAGACGTGCAGATATTTTTCCTGCCTGCAACTTCCTTTGGCAAACATAAAATGAAAATAAAAAACAGGATCTTTACAGTTATTATTGACTCTCAGTCATGGCACCAGTACAGCTTCCTTTATGTGAGACTCCAAAACCCTGGTCTGTTTTCAATTCTGTATCAGTGCTGTCTTTGAAAAATGTGCATGGGGAGAAAATTACTATGGCAGCACCATAATCTGGGGCAAAGGAGTACACTGCAATTACAAAAAACAGCATTCTTGAAGAAAGTGATAATTTCTGTTCAGCCTGGCACAACTGTCTGGAGCCAAGTCCAGAAACTTGATACAATGTGCTATACAACACAAAAGTGTGAACACTTACAAAGACGGGATCCTGAAAAACATGTAGATAACCAAAAACATCCAGTCAAGTATTCAAATATCAAAATGATACAAAACTACAAATTAACCCAACATTTCCACTGTTGCCTGGTCCTTGCTCTCTAACCAGTCAAAGCCAGCAGAACTCACAGTCTCGCTGCAGATCTGCTGAAAAAGTGGGTCATTCTTCAGTTCCTCCAGTGTTGATTCTTCATACTGCCCCTGCTGCTGACTGGGGTTAAACAGAAGGTTTGTGTCCAAAGTGTTCAGGTCATTGATGCTACTAGAGAGTTCAGAGGTCAGTCGCATATCGCCAGGGAACTCAGAACCCCCAGTACTCAGATCTGAAGCCTGGCCTGACAGCTGTGAGCCAGCGTTCAGGCTGTTTTCCTCTAACAGGTCCTTAACAGTGCTGTCGAAATGCAGAGGCTGCTGGTGCTGATGTTGCTGGAGGTTCTGTTGCGGAGGAATCTGCAAGGCCTGATTCTGCTGCTCTTCACCAGAAAGCTGCTGCGGCTGCTTCTCTCCTGAGACTGATTGTGCTTGGCCGTCCCCTGATGAGAAGCTCATCTGCTCCCCTCTGGTGTTCTTCATGAGGTAAGCCGGCTTCTGAAACTTGTAGGCTGAGGGGCCAGATGAAATTTGAGCCTGGTGGTTGGCACTGCTGGGGAAGCCAGGGACGGCAGTTGTTTCCAGGATCTGTGTGAGGTTCATGCGAGCAGTGTAGGATGGCATGTTGTTCATGCCAAGTCCACGTACCGAACTGTCACCATCACCATCCATCTTGCTGAGTAGGACATTAGTGATCTTTTTGGTGTTGCTTGCCTGCCCACCAGCCTGCATAGGCAGAACTTCAGTTTGCATCATCACATTCAACGGCACAGACTGACTCCTCTGTGCCATGCTGCTAATGCTAGTGTCTGCTTGACTGTTAGCGAAGATATTCAGCACTTCAGGCGTCACTGGTGAATTGAAAGGGGAGACCACAGAACGGGGGACGTTAGGGTTTGGGGTCCCACTCAGGTTGCGCTGCCTGACTGCTGGACTGACACTGCGGCAGCGAAACGTCCCAGACCCAGAGGAGGATGTGCTGGTTTTGTTATCAAGAGGAGCTGGAACAGCAAATCCCTCCTGTTTATTGAGATTGGCCATGCTTGCCACCTGTTGCTGGACCGGGGAAATAGGTGTCAAACGGCTTATGTGCGTGTCATGGTGCCTGATCTGTGACTGATACGTCTGCCCAGGAATGGCAAAGGCATGAGGCTTCCTGAACTGATCATCTACCAGGTCCTGATAGCTGGGCAGAATGTTGATTCCGTTACTGGAGTTGCCACTACCGCTATTATAGCCATTATTTATCCACTCTAGTTTAGATTTATCTGGGTGGGTGGCCATTGGCCTCTGCATGGGCTTGACTGGACTGGAAGAGACAATACTGCCATCGTGGTAACTTGTGACACTTGAGTTGATAGGAGTGAAAGCAAAGGGGTTCCTACACTCAACAGGGCTGGGTGGTACACTACTACTGCAGTTAGAATGGGGTGTACTAATAGGGGTTTGGCAGCTGCTTCCAAGTGCACTGTCCACAGGGGTGGTGGGAGCCAAGCGAGAGCAGGGGCTCTCTCGAGTCAATCCCTGCCCCCCACCTATCATCTCTGTGGTGGGGGTTGGTGTTGGCGTGGGTGTGTGGATAGGTGTGCTGTTGCTGTGAGCTGAGCTGTAATAAGACAGGCTGGGCTGGTGATTGGATATCATGTTGTTCTGTAAGGTAGTCTGTTGACCTTGTAGTGCCATATCCACACAGCCACCAAAGTCTTGCACACTACTGTTCATTTTCATCTGCTCCTCCATTTGAACCAACTCCTCCACAATACTGTCCTGAGTCATGTCATCATCATTAAAGGGAAAATAGCCCACGTTTGGCTGGGATGACACATATTCTGCCATATCAGTGGTCATCTGTACCATTTGGCTCGGGCCAGAGGGTTGAGCTGTCACTTGAATAGGAGTGGATATTTGCTTGTTTTCTGCCGTACCCTGCTGAGAGTAAACTTGTTGCTGGGTGCCATCTTGCTGTCCATTATCCCAGAACACACTCTTGAGTTCACATGCAGAGTCAGCTTGCTCTGGACCTACCTGCATGGCTTGCGGATTTTTGGCTGCATGCTGCTGTAGCAAGGCCTGACCGGTGGTGCTAGCCGGGTGAGTGACTACTGGCTTGCTGTCAATACTGGATGAAGACCCTTCCCACCGCCCTTGAGAAACACTTCGCGGCCTGCCAAAGGTCTGGAAGCTGGTATTCCGGATCTGAGAATCCTGGCAAGGGGCAGTTGCAGCTGTGGTACCAGAGGCAAAATTTTTTACACTAGATGAGGATCCTTCCCAGTGTCCTTGGGAAACGCTTCTTGACCTGCTGACAGTCTGGAAGCCAGTATTCCCAACTGGAGAGTCAGAAAGCCCAAGGATGCGGGTTGGAACATTGGAGTTGAGCTTCATCATAACTTTTGATGCAGCTGAGGCAGGTGCACTCTCTGGTCGGATGGGAGCATCTGACCTGGGAATATTCTTCATTGTGGCTCCCATGCCTGATTTTGTACCTTCAGTTACTACATCTGTCAAAAAGACTTTTTTGACAGGTGTTAAACATGAATCTGGGCATAAGCCTTGTCTTTTGCGAGGGCTTCTGGATGCAAACTCTGCATCCCTGGGTGATGTCACAAATGCACCACTACTGGTTGGGGCACTGCTCATGGTCTGATTGGTTACACTCTGATACAAACTTCTTTCTTTAACATTATTATTGCTGCCAGCAGCCACATTGCTTTCATTAGGGAGCATCCTCCCATTACATTTGGTCCCTGTTTGCATGTCCAGCCCTGCAGATATCTTAGCAAGAGGTGTAGGCACACTAGCTGCCCTCGGTTTGGGTGCCTCTTCCACCCTCTGTATGCCCACGCCAGCTTCCTGAGAAGTTGCCAGCCTGCCAGTCTCACGCTGGACTTGTCCACCCCCAAGTACAATATCAGAGTCTAACTTCATGTCGATGACAGGTGTTGTGGTGGTTGTTCGTCTTGCCAGGGCGGATGGCATTGCTGCAATAGAGCCGCTACGCACGCGCGTAACAGGCTGGAGGTCATCACTAAGGCTAGCAACTCCAGCAGAAGCAGGCCTAGGTGTGTTGCTGATTGTTGAGGTGGCTGCAGTGTTGGTGTTGCTTGGCCCCAGAGATATGGTTGTCATCTTGACAACATTGACGGAGCTGACCTGGGATGTTGGCATAACAGTTTTGATAGGACTGTTGGTGATAAGGAGTGCAGGAGGTGTGCGCAGGGTGATCGCACTAGTTGTAGTCGGTTTGGGCAAGATTTGGGCATAACGATGGCGGGCAGAGCGATCACCCACTGGACTTGCAGGGACATTCTGAGGGGTCTTGGGACATTGCTTCACAGGCTGCACTGCTTGGGTGACAACCTGAAAACTGACAGGGAGAACTTTGCTTTCTGGTGTTGCAATGGGAACAGGGCTAGGAGACATCAACTGCCTGCTTCTCTGGACCTGCAGAACAAAACAGAGCAAACATAAGAACTGATAAGAGAAACAACATGGATATGCACAAGTCCATTTTCAGTCTATGATCAATGCACTGAAGATGCTAATGTTTTTTAAATGCATGCATAAAGATCACTCAAAGTAGAACTAGCATCCTCTGCTTGGTTTCATTTTTACAAAGATAACCTAAACTTTCTTTACACAATGGCAATTCCATGACTTCTGCTGAATTAGTCTTTACCGTAATAGGGCTAGGGACTGCAGCCACCACAATGCCAATGGTAGGCTGCGGTGAAAGCAGGGCAGGGCTTCCACATGGGATTCCTGTGCCTGAACCAGGCGTAGTGCCCCCATCTGTCCTCCTGGCCTGGGCCTCAGCAGGAAGTGGGGAGTGAAGTTTCTGTTCCTGCTGCTTCTTTTGGATCTTTCTCTGGAGCTGCTGCTTGGCATCAATAGAGGGGGATGCTAGCGTTTTCACCTGAGGCTGGAATGAGTGGGCATCGGCCGTGGGCACAAACGCAGATGACTGCACAGACATCTTAGTCCCTACAGTGATCAAGAGAAATAACCACATAAATAACCACATAAATACACAAATATTATCGGTTGCATGCCACATGGACTATAGTTATGGTATTAACATTGGTTATGGTGTTGATAAACAGACAGACCTTAGTGTATGTATAGCATACAAACACAATAAAAAAGGTTGTGTGGTTACCATAACAGTCCATCCCTCAAATAACACTGCAGTACGCAATTACGCTTGCCAGCTAAGTGCTTAGCAGGCAGTAAGAATAAACACATCCATCCTAATAAATTTCTTCCAGAGATGTGGAATTGGCAAAGACTGGAATGATTGACCATTTTATTATTTTGACTTTGGCAGATCTTTATTACAGTTTTATGGTGTTAATAACATGAGTGAGGTAAGTGCACTAGCGCTGTATTTGAATGTTGCTGTTACACCTATACCAAAATGTCATATACTTTATACCAAAAGTTATACAAGTCATTGTGCTAAACAGCCAGTCCCCTTTTACTTTTGATGTATTACTTTATATGAGTTATGTTATTTAAATAGGCAACTACTTTTGCCTGTTTGGCCAAGTGAATAGCAAACAATATTATTTTTATTGTAATAATGGTTAATAGACAGTACTGGAAATGTAGTAGTTTGTTTTATGTGTACATTTAGTGTAAGCCTCAGGTTTAAAATAAAAATTGAACAAAACATCAGTCATTGACCAATTTTTTTGTGAAAAATTGGAATCAGCCATAAAAATACACAATCATTGAATCCATAATTCCATCAATAGTTATTAAAAAAGGTGATTGAGTCTGTCTTGTCCAATTTATGTCAGATTCATTTGACCGATTCAATGAAAGAAATTTAGCACTTTTGTTTAAATTTGCAGCTTTCCAAACAACTGTTAACATGTTTACCAGTATGTGAAATAGTAAAAACCTGACCACCACTTTGTTTTCCTCATTTTGCTCATGCCACATGTAACTGTGATTTGCTAAGTTTCAAGAATATCGTGCATCTGCTTAACTGCAACTCACAGAAATGAATAAAGGACCTAATTTGTAATAACAATTTCATTGTTCATTATGTTTATTAATTTACAGTTAGTTATCACTGATGCAATTTGGATGTTATTGCAAAAATAGAAATTGTTCAGAATAAAATGTGTGTCAACACTTTACTATTCTAATAAGCTATATAGTGTAATATTTTACAAAGCCATGTCACATGTCTGTGTGAATACAGGCCACCAGGGGGAGGCATTCGCCTGTCCAAGTGACTAAAGGGAATCGTCAGTCTGGGATGAGTGCCCTGTACCTGAAGGGGATCCTGTCATGACGGTAAGAGCAGCAACAGACTTGGTGCCGATGTAGTGGCTGTTGAGCAGGAAGCGTGCCAGGTCCTCCACACTGTCAAACTGCCGACTCAGCACTTTCTGAGCCCACTCGCACACCAGGCCACAGGCTGCAGAGCGGACCTCGTCCTCGCCACCGCAGCTCTGCCCAGCGGGCTCAAACACCTCACACTGCCACACATGGACAAGGAGAGCATGAATGAATCTTTTTTTCAGTTTAGTATTTTTTATATAACATTTACATGTGTCATCATGCTCCACTGCTAATCTCCAATGTTAGCTGATGGAGAAAACTGCCATCATTGTAAATTAAAATTTTTTAAATACTCTTGAAAAAAGGTTGAGTGGAGAACAAGAAAAAGAGGCAAACTTACCCCATCTCCAGTTTTGTGTAAATCCAGGTTTGGAAGTGAGGGCATATGAATGAAAGCTTTCTTTCTTAGGCCACTATAGCAATATGTGAGTAGATGTTAAGGAACAAGTTAGATATGTAGTTCACTGTGTGGCCTGTATCTGTTTGCTCATTACTGGTGAAAATGTAAGGACTGTAGCCTGCCATGCTCTCTTAATCAATGTCGGAATTTCCAATGTCAGGACCATCTTTACTCAAAAATCAATTTAATAAAAGACATTTTGGCTTAAGAGTTTTTGTGCAAAGCCCAGTTTTCTAAACTATCATGGACATGATGCCTGTTTTGGCTGTGACCATCTCCTACACCACGATTTTTTAAAATAAAAGATGACTGAGAACTTTAAACGAAAGCTGACATATCTGCCAGTTCATGTCCCTGGATACTAACACTGAGCTCTGGCAGTTTACACCTCTATATCCAAAGGGACAAGAACTCTAACTATGCCCACACATGACTGGGACTGTATGCAAGGAAAGAAGTAAAGAGATGGGAATAAAGTTGTGATCAATTGTTTGAATGGAACTTTGAAAAAAGTCTATGTAAGCTCTTTACATATGGCAAAGTTCAGAATGTCCACCTTTGGTATGAGGATGGGGTTGCTTTCTTAAACGGGGTTGAGAGGAGTTTGAGGGGGCAGTTGTATTAGATTTCCGTTACGGTGGCAACCGTTGTCAACAAACAAGTGTTATTTCGGAATGGCACCACCAAGGAAATATAAATAAAATATGTACTCACAGATGCACTTGTAACTCTGTTTTTTACCCGTGTTCCAAATAAAATAATTATCACCTCATCGTTGTTATGAAACACTCAGTCATGATTAGGCCTGTGGAGAAAAACCGTTGGTTGGCGAGGAATCCCAGTAGCATAATAAGGCCAGCAACCAGGCTTTTTTGGGGTAAACAATATTGGGATCCTAAAAAGAAAGCTGCATGAGTATCCCCTGGGTGGCTAGGACTGTGTGAAAGAGGACATGCTATGGACAACATTTCTTGAAGGTCAGACAGACTGCTGCTGCCGCTAAGTGCCTCTGTTCCATTGCAGCAACCTGTCGCTTTATTTGATGTAATTTTCTGATCTATATTTAGGAGACACATGAACTACAACAACAGATGTTTGAGAGTTCAAAAGCAGGGTTAGATCGTAGCAAACAGTTCCAGAGAAGGATATTTGGATTTGCCTCTCATGCCAAGCCGGCGTGCCTTCATGTTGGGAAAAACGTTCTTCATGATCTTTCCAAAGTCGGCGGCGCTGAGAGCGTGGTAACCCAGGTTGTCACAGTAGCTCCTGAGAAACATAAAACCATACTCATTTAAGACCAAGATGAACAATATTTATTAAATATAAAATGACCTATAAAATAAAATAACATTTTATTCCCTTTAGTCCACTGAGTTGGTACATGGCGACAAATACTTTCTTAAAATTTTTTGACAATATAAAAGTCAATTTTTTTCAGATTCCTTTGCGAAGGCTTATGTGTTTCTGATCACATGTTGTCCTGTTGTAGTCTGTACTTTTTTCACATACACATCACCTTTGTTGGGGGTTATTATGGTACAAAATAACATGTTACAGTAATGTGATTACTTTATCCTGTAACAAACTACTGTAATTCATTACAGTTTAAATTATTGTAATCATGAACTGTTTCTACTGGCTAGTTTCTCAGTTTTCTCAGTTAAAAATGCTAATAAGGATAACTGACCGTGTGTTTAGAGTAAAGGCAGGGATGCTTACTGTGATCGGTGATTTTCTACTAAATAAAAAAGTGCTGAAAATGACTACTGGGGTTTCCTTGTACTTTCCAGGTGGTACAGATGTGTTTGGGTTTTAGAGTGTAACTTAGAAGTAATGTAATGAGCAGTTGGATTACTTTTTTCTAGGAGGTAGTAAGTAAAGTAACCCCATTATAATGTGAGAGAAGTAATTAGTAATTTAAAATAGATTGCTTTTTTGAGTAACTTCCCCAACACCGCACATCACAGTTGCAATACAGCAATAAAGAAATATGTCCTGTCACATTTGGCAGCTATTTCAGATGATATTTATTAAATAGTATATTGGCTTATTCGGAGGCTTTAATATGTTTCCCAGAGAGCACAGGGGATCCCTGAGTGAACAGGAAGGCAGCGTGTCTCATTATGCAACTGTAACAGTATTTGTGATGACGGTCTCAGATGATCTCTTCTAGAATTACACACAAACTTTTTTTTTACTCAGGGTTCCAAGGCTTATTTATGCCACAACGATTAGCCCCTGTCAGATATAAAGCCTAGAACTGCTGGATTAAATTTTCCGATGTTCACACACATCTGAAAATTCCCAATTGCCTTTAATGTCATTGGGACTTTAAAATAGCATTGGATGATAAACAAGAGAAAGGCAGAAAAGAACACCAAGTGGTGATATTCCAGCTTTTTACTTGAGGCAACCCGGAGCACCGCGGTGAATCTTACTAAGTCGCATCCCGGCAAAATACCAGATCGACTTTCCCTGCGTTTCGACCCTGGCTCTTGTTCATACATAACCCCACACCAAGAAATTGCTGGAATGTTTACAAGTGCTTGTGTGAAAAGAGGCTAAAGGCTCACTAAAAGAGTTCTCTTACAGGGATCTGCTGCTAAAAATGAATGCTTTAATACCTGAATACTTTATTTAATGCTTTAATACTTTATTAATACTTTAACCACTATTACAATGAATCAGACTTTGAACAGAAGCTGCTTGTATTCTCAGAACAATGGACTGACCATTGTGAAAAATGACCATATTTACTGGAAATTAATTAAATAATGGGTGATCTGTGCAGTCGTTTGCATAGTACCGTATTTATTTATTAGCCTGATTCTGTCTGGTTCTAAGTTCCAACACTTGAATTTGGCCAGTTGGATAAGAAATTCTGGTACCATGAAAGAGGTTACATGGAGTTTACAGATTACAAAAAAAGGCAGCAGTGGTTCATAAACTCACTTGTACTCATCGTAGACCTCCTGCTTGGGAAGCGAGGTCTCGGGGTGCTCCTCCAGGTGATTCCGGATCCAGCTGAATGCATGCATCTGCTGAGTGCGACTTGATGACACACAGCTCTGTTCACTGAAAAAGATGCACAAAAAAGCTATGCATAGTAACAAACACCAACATCACACAACTACATCATGCCTATATTGAATTAATTCAAATGTTCATATATGACATAATGACCACATCTCTGGAAATGGTTCCCAGTGTCTTTAATAAAGCAAAATGATATTAAACAGATTTAAGTCAACACAGAACATGTATCATTAAGAACACTCACGTTTTGTCATTGCCACTGCTGGGCCCAGAAGGCAACCTGAGGTAGAGGTAGAGTTTTTCAATATCTGTAAACTTCTCCACATCTTGCTGCAAAGGGAGAGAGAAAGAAAAGGAGAGTTGGCCACATGATAAGTGTTTTTTCTAAGGTATGTTAACCGTCATTTTTCTCCAATGCATAGACAGTATATGTAGGCAGTTTACATTTTCTATTTGCCGTAATTTGACTCTGTTTCATCTTTTTGTCTGAAGTTCTGCTTTTACTGATTCTGCATTAATGTACAGCCAGTCCCGTTCTTGTGAAAGGTCTTTCTCAGAAATATATTTTGTGAAGGTACTTGAAAATCTCTGGGCATTTTTGAAAAAAAAAGTTGCTGTTGATATTTGGAAGGAAAAAAATCATTTTCTGCTGATTTCTAGCAGTTATGACAAAACAAAACACAATGTCGGAGGCCCTTTAGAACACTTCTTCTCATTTCCTGTGTTATTTACCTGTTTGGGATGCAAAGATTAAACAGGTAGAAGATATAAGTTATGAATGCTTAAAAGTGCCAGTATCAAATTCAATTTATCAGTACCCATATTAAAAAAGATAATAATCCATAATTAGATCATTTTAAGCGTTGGATAAGTCTATCTAAATGATGTGGCTGGAAACTGACTGGTTGCAGCCAACCTGAACTGCAGCAAAACAGTGAGTGGCACCGCTACAGTGTAATGATATCAATAGATGAATCTATGGCGGTGTGGTGATGAAGACAACTCCGTCAGAGCTATATATAAAGTTTTGATTTTATTATTGACACTTTTATCACTATTCAGGATTTTCTGTTTAAAAAACAAAAACAAAAAACAAACCAAAAAAGCCCAGAAAGTCATCTTTCACAATTCACCATTGACTGAAAATCATATGAATCACAATACTCTAAAATTACTGGACTATAAGATTAGAATCAAAAATTGAGATATTGATATTATCACTGACAATTTTAGCCCTTTAAAGTGGTATTGGCCTTTATCATAACAGTCAGGCCCTAGGCCAAAGGGGTTTCAGGGTCAGTGTCATACTATTGAGTGGGCAAATCTCCATCGCTGGCATAAAAATGCACACACACATCTATTCTCCAAATGCACCTGTGCCTTCAGAACACAGACACAGCCACCAGCCTGGCCTGCAGACACAGTGAACAAACTTGTATGTTCTTTTTTACATACCCACACAGACCCACACTTCCATAGAGGGATGTAAAATGAAAAAATCAGATTCTACATGCGTCTCCTCTCTGCTCCTCTTCAAAGAGAATGTGTAAGATGGTAGGGCGGGGCAGGCCTGATTTAAATTCTGCTGGAGTAAAAGGCAGCAGACGAGAGTCTCTCCCTGTAGGCATTTCTATACAGCACACAAAGACACACCAGACACTCAAACTTAACTACAAACACACAGTAAAGATCTGCCATTACTGAATCTTAAGAACAAAGCATCGCATCTGAGGAATCCAGAACTGTGCAGGAACACTTATTGGAAAATGTTGTATAGGTTGTATTTGGATGATAACACTCCTACATTTGCTGCACAGCTTTTATCTTAAAAATGCTATTTAATACATTTTGAAGACCCCAACAAAAGAAGAAATAGTTCTATTTCCGCCACACAACATTATACACAAACTCAAATATGGCTTGTTTTAATGTCTATTTTATTTAAATTAAGGGTGGGCTTTTCAGTCCAATTTGATATTTTATTACATAAGGAATTATTCATTTAATTTATATAAATGGTCCACCAAAACAAAAAAAGTATAGAACTCTTAAGCCTACAGGCTACTGCACACTGAACGCCACCAGCGACGGTGGTGCTATGCAGTATCTCAGACCCAGCTCATAAATTTATGTGATCTCAGTAACATGGTCAGTTTTGATTTCAGGTTGACTTTAACACTCTTAAGCACACAGCCTGGATGTCGAGGCTAAGATGGATATCCAATAATGGTTCTAAAACCTCAAACCTCAAAGCAGATCAGTAATACCAAGCACTTAATTGTAATTGAATGACTGGGCTGTTAAGCAAAATAATACTAGTACGTTCTTGTGAAAGGTCTTTCTCAGAAATATATTTTGTGAAGGTACTTGAAAATCTCTGGGCATTTTTGAAAAAAAAAGTTGCTGTTGATATTTGGAAGAAAAAAAACATTTTCTGCTGATTTCTAGCAGTTATGACAAAACAAAACACAATGTCGGAGGCCCTTTAGAACACTTCTTCTCATTTCCTGTGTTATTTATCTGTTTGGGATGCAAAGATTAAACAGGTAGAAGATATAAGTTATGAATGCTAAAAAAGCCAGTATCAAATTCAATTTATCAGTACCCATATTAAAAAAGATAATAATCCATAATTAGATCATTTAAGCGTTGGATAAGTCTATCTAAATGATGTGGTTGGAAACTGACTGGTTGCAGCCAACCTGAACTGCAGCAAAACAGTGAGTGGCACCGCTACAGTGTAATGATATCAATGGATGAATCTATGGCGGTGTGGTGATGAACGCAACTCCGTCAGAGCTATATATAAAGTTTTGGTTTTATTATTGACACTTTTATCCCCATTCTGTATTTTATGTTTAAAAAAAAAAAACAAAAAACAAACCAAAAAAGCCCAGAAAGTCATCTTTCACAATTCACCATTGACTGAAAATCATATGAATCACAATACACTAAAATTACAAGATCACAAATTATATTAGGTGATATGTGAATTTTGACCATTGCTACCATTGCATTTGTCTCAGAGTGTATGTATCCATAGTAAACACTTCCAGAAAGATGAAACAATGGAATCTTTGGAAGAGTCTCTTGACTGTTTACTTGGTATGTGCAGTACACACACACACACACACACACACACACACACACACACACACACATCATCTAAACCGCTTATCTTTCTGGGTCGCGGTGGGGTGCTGGAGCCTATCCCAGCTGTCATGGCATGTGCAGTACAATTTCATCTAAATCCTCTCTATACAGGGAGAGCAATAGCCAGAGGAAAAAGGAAATAAACTTTTAGTTTTCCATGATCACACGACCACGGGTGATGTAAACATCTGGGTTTGTAATATAAGCCACTAAGAACTTGTTTGTCTTGTGTTTATTGCCAGAGTTTTATTACCCATAGTTTTATTACTGAGGAGACGTTTAAAACGTTTATTACAGACGCCCCCTGATGAACTACACAGTGAAATCATCAGTACAAAAAATGCAGTGTTAAATTTTATTCACTCTAATTGAGCTGGATTGACTACTCTGTAGAGCGGGACCATTTACAGTTCAAAGTAGTGCTGAAATGAACTATTTAGGTGTTGATTTAACACTGCTGATTTGCTGATTAGTAGGATGAAAGATGAAACAAATAATAAGATGAAATTAAGATTTGAACCTCAATATTTGCTGGTATTAAAGACAGTAACAGGTGAAAAATGGGCAGAATCTGTCATTTAGCATGCTAGCACTAGTACCATCTAGTACTTAGTCTCGTACTGGCTTAACTGATAAGATGCCACCATGGTCTGAGCACATTTGTATTCATTCTAGTTTTGTGGTTGAGACAATGACATTTAACAATTTTTAGCATGGCAATGGTCATCTTGGATCAAAATATCAAGGTGGCTTATGTTGTGGTACACGTGGTCACTGTTGCAGATTCCATGTTTATGTGATGATGTATTTAGGGCATTTTTTACAACTGTAATTTTTTCCTGACTGTGACCAATTCAGTTTCAAATTAGGATTAAGAGCAAATATTACAGACAGGCCACACCTTCAGTGCTTGGCCCCCTAACAACAGTGTGCAACAAGATGAGGCCAAACAACTGCTAAAAAAACTGGAGAAAAAAAATGTGCAGGGGGAAAAGAAGGCGTGTTAAAATAAATATGTTCCAATAGGATTGTGGGGCCCCACCCTAAACAGGAAGTCATCTGAGGTAGCTATAATCCGAGGAAGACTTAATCCCTAAGCGCATGGGGCAGGGCGTCCGGCTAAAACAGCATAAACAAGCTTTTGTTTTTATGGTGTCTGCTGGAGAGAGCAGCGGAGCACGCGCGCGTGTGTGCAGTCTGCAGAAGTGAATCTTCGAATGCCCGAGAGAGCGCATGGCCCACTGACTGAATCACCAAATAAACCTCCAGAACAGGCCATGTGAATGCTACCATGGCTGTAAACAGTAAACAATAACAACAACACAAATAAAAATATAGCAACGGAGGAATGGGACTATGTGCAAAAGCAGCTGCGATGACTGAAACAGTAACGGAAGCCATACACAAACACACCCACATTCATGCACCATATTAGCATACGCACATACATACATGGCATGGGACTAGGGGTGGGCAATATGACAATGTGTTATTGTTACTGTGCTATATATTATATCATGATACACTTTTCTAAGTATATTGTGGGTACTGTCAGTACTTAAAGGACACTGAACTGCATGTATCATGAAAAAACAATACCAACTGCAGGGAGACTGCAAAGTAGAGATGCCCTTATTTAACTTTTTTCTCCTGCTACTGATTCCAATGAACTGAGTGCCAATCAGAGACCACTCTTAATTTAATTTCTAAAAAAATGGGTAGTTGTGTTCAAGCTATACATTTTCAGAAGATATTTCTGAGGAGATTAGACATTAGATAACCCACTTGCACAAGAAACAAGGAAAAAAAAAGTAAAAAAGAAGTTTCAGAGTCCAAAAACGTTTACTAGCAAGATATATGGAAAAATGGGACTCCTAACAACTGAGCAAAACCTGGTAGACCACTAAAACTGTCCCATCAGATAAACAGTACTTAAAGCTTTCATCTTTGAGAGAGATGAGTAAATCAAGCTCCACTCTTACTTCAGATCTGAAAAAACCCACAGGTGTTTCTGTCCATCTTTCCACTGTGAGAAGACAACTTAACACTATGAGTCTGAAAGGATGCATATCTTGCACAAGGGAGAACTATTAGAACTCCAAAAGGTCTTTGGGCTTCATAACAGTGGTGACTCAAATCAATGACAGTGCCCTTGTTAAATTATACTGTCCAAAAAA